TCTGATTTATATATTTTAGTTTTTATTTATTAGAAGTTTTTCCCTTAGGGTGCATGTGCTCACTGGAGAGAGAGAGACACACACACACACATACAGTGAGAGGGAAAGTGAGAAATCACCCCACAGGGAGATGGGCGTGCCACAGTCCTTTCTTTTCCATTCTCCTTGTGGGATCTTGGGCATGCATGCACATATGCCTGCATGAATTTCAAGTCACCTGGTCCGGACTTGAATCCCAGTCAGCCATGTGGGTGTCTAGTGATGTAACCACTATGCCGTCTGCTGGGCCCTAGTTTTTGCTTTTTAATAGTTTCTTAAATTTCACTTAATAAAGGAAAACTCATTAATATTTTCCTTTATGCTTTAAGTCTTTGCACTTATTTAAGAAATCTTACATAGTTTTTTAAAAGATTAGAAAATAAGTATATTCAGTATAGCAAATTCAAATCCCACCTCTTTGAAAGAATTAAACATATTGTATGAAAATATTGGAATTTCTCACTTTCTCTCTCTCTTTCTCTCTCCTCTGAGTGCACGCACCCTATGTTACAAGCCTAAAAAATTTTAAAAAAGAAAGAGAGAACGAGATGAGGGTAGTGTTTATATGGACAAGTCAATTTGTGAATATTCATTATACTCAACACTTACCATTAAACTCTGTGCTTATTTATGGACTTTTCTGTATAAATATTCTATTTGATGAAAAGTTTACTTAAGTGACAAGCAGATGGCATAGTGGTTATGTTGCTGGATTTCCACATGCCCGGCCATGGTTTGAGTCCCAGACCCAGTGGCTTGAAACTCATGCCAGGCGTGTATGCATGTGTGCCCAATATCCTGAGAGGTGACCTGAGAAGAAGGGATTGTGGTGTGACCATCCCCTGGGGGGTGGGGGGCATTTCTTGCTTTCTGTCTCTGTCTTTCTCTTCTCTCTTGTGAGTACACGGGCCCTACAGCAAAAATCTCTCTTAAAAAAAAAGTTAAGGAACCAGCAGGTGGCATGGTGGTTGGGGTGCTAAACTCTCATATGGCCTATGGCAGTCTGAGTCCCAGAACTGGCAGCTTTAGAATCACATGGGGCTTGTGTGCATGTGTGCCCAAAGTCCCAAGAGGTGAATAGAGAAGGGACTGCAGCACGGTTATCCCCCTGGAGGGGGGATGATTTCTCACTTCCCTCTCACTGTCTCTCTCTTGCAGGTGCCCATACCCTATGGCAAAAACCTTAAGGTCAACTCAATGCAATGTATAGACTCTAATTTCAATAAAAAGAGGCTTTTTCTCCCTTTTTTGGGGAAGACTTTTTATGTATTTGAGAAATCTCAGTACTGTTATTTTATGACATGGAGAAGTTATTAATGTTTTAAACATAATAGTGGTATAGTAATGGTTATTTATTCTTATAGTTCTTACAGAAATATAGGGGATTACTTAATAGATACAGTGAAATGATATTTCAGATTCACTTCAAAATAATCTGGTAGGATGAAACAAATAATAGAGATATAAGTGAAATGATATGCTTTCACATATGTTAAAATGATGCCTTTAAAATGTTTATACACACACACACATTTATGCATATATATAAAGTTAAACTGACACTTCACCATTTCCTTTTTCTAAAGTGATATTTCATTGTGGTTTTGATTTGCATTTCTCTTATGTTGAGCATTTTTTCATGTATTTTGGCTATTCTTCCTTGGAGAGTTGCCTGTTTAGTGCATTGGCCCATTTTTTAAATATTTTTTTAAATTTTTTTTTTTGGGGGGGTTAAGTAGCTTGAGTTCCCTATATATTCTAGTTAAAGTTTTTACCTGAAGCATAGTTTGCAAATATTTTCTCCCATTCTGAGCATTGTCCCTTCACTTCTACTTATTGTCTACTTTGCTGCACAGAAGCTTTGTGGCCTGATATGATCCCACTTGTCTATTTTTAGGATGACTGCCTGTGCTTTAGTTGTTTTATTTAAGAGATCTTTGCCTACTTCAATATCTTCTAAAGTTTCCCCTGTGTTTTCCTCCAGTAGTCTTATAGTTTGAAGTTTTGCTTTGAAATCTTTGATCCATTTTGAGTTGATTTTTGTTAATGGTGAGAGATATGGGTCTGGTTTCATTTTTCTGCAGGTGGATATTTCTTTTTTCTTTTTGGAGAGGTTTTTGCTATAGGGCGTGTGCGCTTGCCAGACAGACAGAGAGAGACATAGAGACAGAAAGCGAGAAATCACCCCCCAGGGGGGTTGGTCACGCCGCAATCCCTTCTCCTCAATTCTCCTCTCAGGATTTTGGGCATGCATGCACACGCGCCCGGCGTGAGTTTTAAGCCACCGTGTCCAGGACGCGAACTGTGGTTGACCACATGGGAGTCCACCAATGTAGCCATTATGCTAACCGCTGGTTCCCACAGGTGGATTTTTCTGCAGTTTTCCCAGCACCATTTGCTGAAGAGGATTTTCTTCATTGGATTGTCTTATGTCCTTTGTCAAAAGTCAGTTGGCAGTATGTTTTGGGTTTATTTCTCGGTTCTCTATTCTGTTCCATTGGTCTACCTGCCTGTTCTGAGTATCATAGCTTTAATATTTTGAAGTCAGGAAGTGAGATGCCTCCCACTTAATTCTTTTTGTATAGTATAACTTTTTATAACTCCAGACAAATTTTATGACTGCCTTTCCTATTTCTCTGAAGAGTATCTCTGGTAATTTGATCAGAATTGCATTTAATTTGTAAATTAAGTAGGGTAGAATTGACATTTTGATTATATTAATTCTTGTAATCCAGGAGCTTGAGATGCCTTCCCATTTTTTAACAACACTTACTGTTTATTTTTTCTGTTTTTATGTAATTTTCTTTGTAGAGGTCTTTCACTTATTGGTTAGATTTATTCCTAGGTATTTTCTCCATTACTAATGCTAATATTTTACCCTTACAATGTTTTTAATCCTTTGGAGGAGACAAAGAATCTGTAGAAAATTTTTTCATTACTCTGTTTAGACACAGGATGGCACTCTTTGAATAAGCAATTAGCCAACAGTCTTCTCACTGAAATGAGGTCTTTCACAATGCTGCTATTTCTTAGGGCAGTTTATCTTAGTTCAGATGGCTTTTATAGATAACTTTTACACCTTAACTTTATTTTTTCTGTTCTGGCGGTACCTGTCTACTACCAGTTCCTGAAAAATGAAGGAATAATGATTTAAATGACCATTTCATGCAAAAACAGCTCAGTGCCCACTCTTATTTTGGGGGTTTACAATGATTTCTTTGGGGTTCCCCACCTCATGTAAGTCTGTGATGTGTGTGTGTGTGTATCCATATAAAATCATCTTTATTTAAAATTGTCAATGCCAACCACAGGACATTTTTCTAGGTTTTGAATGACATTTAGCCAAATAACTATTGATTAAGGTCAAGATGAAGACTATTGACTTTGTGGATAGATGCTTTCCTCTTTCAGCCCTTGAGGAAGAATTGAAATAATTGTATTCTTGGACGTTCTCAGTCTGATTCATGCCTTCTTTCGGCCAACTATTCATGGATTCACCAGAAGAATTACACCTACTACCTCCGGCGTAGGAAGAAAAAAAAAATAAAATGGGCAATAATGTTAGCAGAAGCTTGAAATTTAAGAGCGGTATTCAAAAAAGTCCTCCTCCCTACCCACTTCCCTACGGTCCAATTCTCCTTTCTCGTTCTGGCCATCGGAAATTGACTTGGCATTAACTAAGCCCTGGAATTTCGAGGCGTCAATCCCCCCCTCCCCAACCTCGGAAACTTTTAAACAGCTCCCTACCACGCACTCAAGGGTAGAGACAGATAAATGATGCAGCAGATTACACCGCTGAAAGGCAACATTTGTCCTTAGCTATTTTCACATTTTTTCCCTGTTTCCGATTTGTGTGCCTGACTTTGTTTGCTTGCTTAGGACATGGAAAACATTTCGGGTATTTTCTCCGCAGTTTAATACCAGTGGCTTTCTCCCAGCAAATGAAAGTGAAAGTGCTATATTGTAGTGGTATTTTATCCTTAAAGTTTGGACTGGCAGCTGGTGTGTATGGGGGCGGGGAGGAGGGTTGGAAGGTGGGATTGGGAAGCTTGAAGAACCAGTTTTGAGGTTTTGTTTGTTTATCTTGAGATCGCAGCAGGGTTCCTATGTCCCCCCCCCCCTTTATTTTCGAGGGTGGGGGTGATCTGGCTTCGGGTTTATTTTCATTTGGGCAGTCATTGAAGTTTCATTCAATGTACCGCCTTAAAAAAATACACTGCACTTGTAGCTTTCCCCGGTTGCACTTTAAACACCATCCAGTCTCACCCTCATCTGGAAATAATGCAAGCTTCTCTCTTCCCCCGCTCCCTCCTCCCCCACTTTTTTTTTTTTTTTTAAAGCCCCACATAACCTGAAGTCGATAATCAGATGGAAAATGTGCTGGTCTTGGTTTACTCTCCCTTTTGGTGGTAGCCTTACTTGTTGAAGTATTCATAAAACACACAGACGTTCTGTACACATGCAGCTACCGCATCTTGAAATCTGCCTGCTCCACTGAAATAAAATTTGCTATAAGTTTCCTCAAAGGCACTCTTTTTGTGCAACTTTTTAACATTTTTTTTTATTGTGTAAACTTCAAAACAATACCCGGAGAATAATACTGGAGATCTTAATAGTGACGTTAGACCATCTAAAGTCATTCATCCTCTCCCCACCCCACCCCCTTCCTTTTTCCAAGAAACAACTAATAACAAACCAGGTTAGCATTTCTAAAAGAGGTTAGAATAGGAAGAAAAGAGGTAGAGTGGGTTAGGGCAGAGAGGTTAGAGGGGCCAGAATTTCTCTCATTCACAGGGTGGAAAAGTTGACATTGTCTAAGCCCTTCTGAATGGCTGGTAGTTGGTTACCCTGATTGTACCTCCACTTCCCCTCCCCCTCCACGTGACGACCCAGGACACATGCGCACCCGACGCAGCCCAGGCACATCTGCAGACTGACGTCAGTGTGCTCTGCCTCCGAGGAAAAGCTGCCAAAATTTTCTCCTGCTGCAATTCAAGTTGGCCGGGGGCCGGTAGTGAGATCTAGGGCTACTTCAACAAAACTTTGCTGCCCTTCCTGCTCCTCTTGTCTTCTTTTCTCCTGATACCTTTTGATGCTCTGCACATGTTATTTGCATAGCAAAGGCACTAAGCTGTCCAGGAAGAGGGCACCACTTCCACCCCCAATAAGTCTTTTTTTTTTTTTTTCCCTTCCTTCCTTTCTTTCTTTCTTTCTTTTTTTTTTCCTTTTTTTTTTCCCTCTGGTGGGGAGTGTGGGGAGAGAAAGGGGGCTAGCAAAGGCAGCATCTCAGGGTGATAGCCTGGATGTATTGAAGGCATCTCTTTTTCTGCCAAGTCGGAAAATCCGTTCTCTAAAGCCAGGGTTAGACAGACTATAGGGTTTTATTCTGGCTGCAGAATAACTGGCTGGTGTGGCTTTGCAAAGGCGGGGGGGTTGGAGGGGCAAAAAAAAGTTAGAAAGGAGAGGGAGTACGTGAGTCGTCCAGTGCAATCTCTATTGTTTGAAACTTATTTTATCAGAATTTGAAGATGAAAACGGTAAGGAAGACTTCATAATATTCAATGAGACCTTTTTTTAAATATAAAAAAAAACCCTTGTGCTTTGCTTGTCTTCCGAATAAGCTTAGAAAACCTCTCTCTCTCTCTCTCTCTCTCTCTGTGTGTGTGTGTGTGTGTGTGTGTTTTATGGCAATGAGTGAGCTTGAATGAACTCATTTTATAGATAGAAATCTTAACTCCAGACTAGTAGGGGGTTGTAGAATTCTAGGACTTGCAAGTATTTTATGATGCAAAAATTACGTTTATTATATGGATATACATGTTTTGTAATTATGATTGGTGTGTGTGTGTGTGTGTTTAAACTAATCACCAAACAGTAATTGAGAAAGTAATATGCGTGTATTTTAAATCGATTTCCAATTTTCTTGAAGAAAAGCTTCTGCATTTTATAGTTTCGTGTCAGTGTCTTAAGTATTCAAACAAGTGCATATTTTATGCCTGGGCTCTCTTGGGTAGCATTAACGTGCTAGTTGTAGCCCTGATGCTCTAGGATATGTTAAGCTCTTAATAAGCTAATCAAAGAGATGGAAGCGTGTGTTTTTGATTTACTTTTGGCCACTTGGGACGTGCTAGACTCGTAACTCTCCGGAGCCTTGTTTATCGGGGTATGTCTGTATATGTGGTGTATGGGACTAAAGTTCAGGGATTTGGGAGGGAGAGTGAAGGGTGCTGGAGGGGATATTGGAAAGCCTCTATTTGATAATGTGTGCTATAATTCCTGTCTTTGATCATTTCTTTCCTTGTTGTACTAAAGGCAAAGTGAGCGAGAGAGTGAGAGAGCGCACTGAGAGGGAACAAGAGAGTGAGTTTCTTACTCTTGTTTTTATTTGAGCTGCCGGTGCAACGCGTTTGGGCCAAATGCCAACTGTCTGGGTCACACGCGTTTTATCCAAATAGATTTAGCGCTGCTGTCTGGAAATGGGCTGCTGAATGTTAACTTTAGGATCAACTCAACCAGGGCAGCTCAGACTGTTACCCTCTGTCTGGGCGAAGTGAAATGGGGCGGGGGAGGGGGCTCTGAGGGTGTGCAGAGCGGGAGGGGGGAGGGGAAACTAAACCATTGCTTGGAACTTTAAAAAAAAAAGACACTAGAGTGTGATTTTTCAACATTTCTTTTATGTTCATTTGTGTATGTGTGTTTGACTACCGTGCTTTTCTTTTCTTCAGTTTATGTTGATTAGAGTGAAACTTTAGATGTGGGGATGACAGTTCTCAGAATTCATGATAGGGAATGAAATGTAACATAAAACTGGTGTAGTTGAAGGAAATTAAGAAAATTAATTTTGGAGGTATCTGTTTTCCTATGTTTCACCAAAGTGGTAGCTGCAGTCTGGTTTATATTAATTTAGTGCTAACATGTGATCTTTGGAGTTTTGAATTTTTGAAGAAAAGCATGTAGATGCAAATAAGTTGATTTCAAACAAATTCATTCATTTGTTACAAATGGCAGCAAATGAAATCTGTGTAGCGGTATTAATATTTCTGAGATATCCAGGAGGAAAAAGTCTCAGACCTCAAGACCTGAAATATTGTAATACTTTTCATGTCTGGTACAATACCTGTAAGATTAATTTCTACTTTGTCTTCTCCTACTACTTCTTCATTTCCTTAGCAACTGCTAGTAGCTAATAGTAGTTTAGTAAGGGTATTTTTACTAAACTAGAGTTAGTGGCCTAGTGAGAGAATGAAGAGAGCTATCTTAATAAAGAGAGTTAATAGTATATTTGGAATATTGTGAGGGTTAGCACAGATTTTTTTCTTGATTGTATCAAAAGACATTATTGATTATCAACATTTGAGACAATCTCAACAGAAAGGTGTTTCTGTTTTTCAGGAAAGAAGTTGTAATACAGTTAACATAAAATTTACCCTATGATCTGAAAAAAACTTTGAGACTCTATGTAACTTTGATTTTGGGAAATTATGTTTTTGCTTTTGGCTAATTTGTTTTTTTTTTTAAGAAATTATTTAAAATTTAATTTATTATGATTACTATTTCTAATTTGTTTTAGGACACATGCACTGACCAGAGAGAGAGAGAGAGAGAAAGCAAACTACCAGGTCTGGGACTTGAAATGTGTTCAGCCATGAGGGAGTCCAAAACCTTAACCACCATACCACCTGCTGGCTCCTCATTTGCTCTTCTGATAAATTTTGAGTAATTTATGTGCTGAATGATACCTTTTCTTAGAAACCAGTCTCACAAAGTGTATCTGTATCTGGAACCTTTATACTTCGAGCTTAGTTGAGTTCTTAGCATGTGGCAGGTGACAATATTATCTGAGAGAATAGTGGGAAATGAAATGAGAAGTTAATTTTTTTTAAGAGAGATTTTTTGTTTTTTTTTTGCTATTTTTCAGGCACATGCACTTGTTGGAAAAACAGAGTCAGAGAAAGAAATCACCCCACTAGGAGGGATGGCCATGCCACAATCCTTCATTCTCTTCCTGGATTTTGGACATGCTTGCAAATGCACCCAGTGTGAGTTTCAAGCCACTGGGTCCAGGACTCAACCCATGGTTGGCCATGTGGGAGTCCAATGCCTTAACCACTACACTACCTGCTGGCCCCAAGAAGTTAATTTAAAAAAAAATTATTATTATTTAATTTGACGAGAGAGAGAAAGTGGAAAAGCAAGCCACCAGAACTGGGACTCATACCACAATCAGCCATATGGGAGTCCAGCAACTCAACCACCAAACTACCTGCCAGCCTCAGAGAAGTTAATTTTTGTATGAAAATTAAATACTTGATGGGACCATGGTTTGTTGCTTCTGCCATGGAGACTAAATCAGCCTTCAAATAAATAACCAAAGTTAAGATGGATAAAAGAAGTTGAGAAGGATGTGTTGTACCTGTTCTTTAGCTCCATAATAATAGTTCATGAGAGGAAATTATTACCTTGGCTATTTCAGATCGCCCGAGTGGGAAGTAAAGATGATAGAGGGAAAAGACAAGTAATACCCTTCAATTGGGTCAGGATACTAGGAGAATCACTGTAATGCTTGTTGTCTCATCTTATTTCTCCTTGGCTAGTGCAGTAGCTTTGATCCATTAGAACAGGTAAATGATCCATTACATTTACTGATTTGTTCATTTGTATTAGGGAAAAAAGTATATGTGAAATCAAAGTAAAATGGAAATTTTGATTCTCTTTCACATTTAAAATAATAACTAAATATAGTTATGATTAAATTCTTTATTGTTTGTTTTCAAAGACAATACAACCTAGTTGGTTGACTGTATCATCTTATTCAACTATTCCAGAGTTCTGAGAGAAGGGAAAGCATGAAACTGTTTGGAGGGAAGACCTTTGAAAGTGATGTTCAATTATGAGAGGAAGCAGGCAAACATTTAAAATGAAGTATGCAGACATTTTATATCATGCGTGCACTGATTTAATTTCTCAAGTCTTTGTCGATAGATAGATAGATAGACAGGTAGATATCATCATCCTGATTTTAAAGATGAGGAAACAGATCTATACTCTAGATGTTAAGTAATTCGGGGTCATGCTAAGACACAAAGCCTTTGTACTTTTCCATAATGTAATAATGCTGCTGCCATACAACTTCAAGTGTTAATTCATTATGATTTGGACAGTTGTCGAGTATTTTAGTGCCTAAACTTTGGACACTGTATCTGGAAAAGTCAGAATCTATACACATTTGTTTATGGTGCCCAGATTAACCTCCCAGCATGTGCCAGAAAGTAGATTAACCCACTCACTTTTATTGTAGATAACCAAGAGAGGTTAGATATGTTAGTTGTGTTGATTTTAGTTGGCTCTGGCCAACTTGTTTACTTAGTGTTCCAAATTCCTTCACTGAGGCTTGAAAGAAAGTGGACGAAGAGTAGAGTAAGAAAGGAGAAAGAAACCAAGTTTATTGAGTGTCCATGTGCCAGATACCATAGCTTAGTGGTGGAACCAAGAGTATAACCCTGATTTGTTTCACTTAAAAGCTCCTGCTTTTTCTTCTATGCACCAATGCCCTTTTTACTGCAAATGTTAGTCTACTTCTGCCCAACTAGTTAACCATTAGGTTTTTTCTTCAGTGCTACTGGCTTAGTTAACTTGGGCATTTACAGGGCAGTGTTAGGGTAAGAGTAAAGGTTACAGAACTGAAGAGCAGGAAATTTCTTAAAGGGGAAACATATTTGTTCCTTAAACTCAACCAACCATGCTGTAAGTTTGTCATTAGTTTCAAAATGCAGAAAAATAGGAGAAAAAGAATGAAGGATTCAGTTCAAATCTATCACTATTACTAAAAAATTAACTGACATATATTAAGTATATATTCCTTTTTATAGGATTAATACAGTGTAAAGTATGTGAGGTACTCATTTAATGTCAGATATTATTATTCAAAATACCTGAGAGATTTGAAAAAAATTAAAACAATGAGAATATATGTTGTTCATGAATCAACAATGACAGTTAAATATCTCATGGGAAGGTTTGAAGTGTAGAGACTATATTTAAGTAGATTGGAAACCAAAATAACTGGATCCTTTTCATCACTGTTATTAAATATGACTTAATCGCTGTAGATTTTTACTTGAGAAAATGTATAGTGTTGAGGGACAGCAGGTAGCATGGTGGTTGAGGCACCGGACTCCTACATGGACTTCTACTATGTTTTGAGTCCTGGACCTGGTGGCTTGTTTTCTCACTTTCTCTCTCTCTCTCTGGCCAAATTTTACAAATAACATAGTAAGTAAAATAAAATAAATAATTCTTTAGAAAAATATAGTGTTCGAAATACAGTGTTCACTGTCTTGCCTAAATCATTATAGCAGTGATTTTGAGAAGAAACAATGAATGTATGTAAAGATGACTACAAACTGGGACATGATTAAATTCTTTATTGTTTGTTTTCAAAGACAATACAACCTAGTTGGTTGACTGTATCATCTTATTCAACTATTCCAGAGTTCTGAGAGAAGGGAAAGCATGAAACTGTTTGGAGGGAAGACCT